ACATCAATGGGCTTAAGTAAGTCCATCCATTTCAGTGCATCTACTACTAGCACAAATCAGGCCCCATCTGCATTATGCATTTAACACAGTAGCAAACCATTTCAAACAGTCATGGCTCCACACTCCCCCAAACCCTGGGAATTGAAGCTCTGTTTGGGGGCCTCCTAACAACTCTCAATAGAGCCCCTTTCAGGTGTTCAGCATTGTGCTGACAGGATCTGCTCCTGACCTACAACATAACGTGTGAGAATAAGCCGAATTATAGCACTGCTCCATCTAACTCAGCACTGGCAGTGCGTTGCCAGGATTTTATGTGGGAGTCTTTCCCAACACGACCAACAGAGACCAGGAATTGAACCTGGAAATATTTATCTGAAGTTCCTGCATTGCAAGGTGTTGCAGCTAGATGACCCTTGTGGTCCCTTTCAGATCTACGATTCTAGGATCTATGTTTTCCACCACTGAGCTTTGGACTAGCCCCCTTAACAATGAACAGAATTTCTGTGGCAGACGCAAACTTCCCGGAAGTAGAAAGTTTGAAAAACTGCTGGACTGCATTAGTCAGGGCCTTTCGACGGAGACATTTCTCAGGAGAATTTCTCTTCGAGGCTTGTGCGGCTTGAAAGGAACGTTGCCGTTAAGTGCCGGGTAGCAAACGGAGAACTGCATAGTGGTCACATTTTTGATGGGGAGAGAACTGGTGTGAAGAGAGTGAGCTGTGGAGAGGGGCCAGCCCTACCATTAGGCAAAATGAGGATGTTAGAGACTAGAGAGCATCTAGCACAGCAGCAAACCTCCTAGTCATTTCTCTTGAGTCCCTCTTGGGCAGAAAGACAGAGCTGCCTGTTGCCATGCAGCCTCTCTATGGCCCCTAAGCTAGCCTGTTGCCCTCAGGTGTAGTGGAGATAGGGCTGGGGGAGAAAATGAATTCCATTTGCATTTAAAGGTGAACCCGCCAAATTTGTGTTTTCCAAAACAATTTACAAACGAAAACACAGCCCTTTGCGCTTCTCTAAATTTTGCAGAACAGTTCGTCCAACCAAGTCACAAAATAGCTCCCAGGATCCTTTGGGGGAAGCCATGTGCTTTAAATGTGCTTCAAATGTATGGTGTCAATATGATCATAGCGAAATTTAGCTGTGCTTTAAAGGTGAATGCTAGTAAACATTTAGGCATTTCACTCCTCCTCCACTGCTACTGTTGCGCTGCAGGGAAGCAAGCCATGGGTTGGCTTAATGTTATGAATGAGCCCAGGCCCGTGATTCATTTCTCTGAAACAAACCATGAGCTGTAAGCCAAGGACATGGCTATAAGTTGTGATTTGCTTGGAGAGAAAAAGCCAACAGCCTAAGTTTGGCTGTAACACTGAGCTAAAGCAAGGCGCCTGAATTTCAGCAGCGTGCTTGAGTGTGCTGGGCTCTCGCCTTGAAACCACAGCTTTCATTTTAAACTATGGTTTAAAATGAACATCAAACTATGGTTTAATATGTTGTGCTAACAATGCCTTTGTGCTTATCTTTCATACACACACTTCTGTGGATTCATATATACACATTTGTGGAAAACCAGGAGAGGGAGGATTTATTTAATTTATTCGGATTGCAGAATCACCGAGTCCTTTCCACAGGATATGCTGGGGGTGAAAAACATGTCCTGACATCAGATCAAAGGATGTGAGAGTGTGTTGGCTTCTGCATTTTAAAGTGTAATTTGGGGATGGCTTTATGCTGAGGACTGTGATGGAGGGGGCTTGATTATGTGTGTGAAAGAGAGAGGCTGAGTACAGCTCTCTCTGTGTGTATACATTGGGGAATCTCCTTCCCTCCCTCCTTCCCCCTCCCTTGCCGACACTGCAGCCCTGGCTGCTTCCTTATCCCCAGCTCTAATCCATCCCCTCACCCCCTCCATGCTTCCATCTCTCCCTTCTGCTGCTTCTGCATTTTCCACCTGGCTGCTCCCTCCTCTTTTTTCTGCATCTCAGCTGGGCGAGTAAACGCGTTGCAGTGTCCCTCCTAGGCAGATGTTCCCCCAGCTGCCCCAGAGCTGGCTGCATCTCTGCACCCACTACAATAAAAGGGAGCAATGGCTGATGCAGGTGCTCCGGTAATAACTGCAGAGGCAGCCTGGAAACACTCACGTTCAAAGTCTGTTCTCTGTTCTCTAGGGCACATCCCCCAAAACTGGCTTTTGGGAAGTTGATAAGGGAGAGAGATCAGAAGGATCATAAGCATTAATGGAGCCGGAGAGCCAGTGTGGTGTAGTGGTTAAGAGCGGTGGACTCGTAATCTGGTGAACCGGGTTCACGTCTCCGCTCCTCCACATGCAGCTGCTGGCTGACCTTGGGCTAGTCACACTTCTCTGAAGTCTCTCAGCCTCACTCACCTCACAGAGTGTTTGTTGTGGGGGAGGAAGGGAAAGGAGGTTGTGAGCCGCTTTGAGACTCCTTAGGGTAGTGATAAAGCGGGATATCAAATCCAAACTCTTCTTGCAAAACCATGTTTTGAAGCTGCTTACCTCTGAACCAGCATACCATGGTTTGTAGCATCACTGTATCCTCAGATGCCTCTGTTCAAGTTATCAGCCAAGTATTTTCACAAAAGATCTGGGGTGGGGTAAGGAAAACTGCAAAACCATGGTTTGCCTTTATTAGTTTACAGTGCTATTGCTAGGTACTTAAAGCAGTGGCCCAAGACCATGGTTGAAGCACTATACCTCTGAATGTGATGTTCTGAGGCAGGATATCTCTGTATACCTTGCCAAGGCACACCCAAAAAAATCACCCCAGAGTGTGTTTCTGTCCACCATACCACTGTGGTGGACTAAACGGACCTTCATTATGATTTAACAGGGCTCTTCTTATGTAGATTTGGAACACAAATCATCATTTGGCTTCTAAACTATTGCTAGCGCAAAACATGGTTTGGCATTGCAACTGAACCAACCCAGAGTCCTGTGGATGTTTTAAGGTTAACAACAAATGTTTTGGGACATCTACATCCAGGGTCTGAAGCTGGCCATGGGGTTACACTACAGAGGAGCAGTTTCCACTCTTCTGTGGATAAAAGTGGATCTCCTTCAATATCAACAAGGAGTGTGACTGATCAGCAGGGTGACCTGGTGAAAGAGAACACAGGGGCTCCTGCACCTTTAATAGTTGTACAAAAGGGGGGATTTCAGCAGGTACATGCCAGCTATTAAAGGTGCAGAAGCCCTGTCTTTGTTCACCTTAGAGGCTGCTCGGAGGAGGCAAATATCTTGGTGCTATCCTATCAACCACAGCTGGAAGTAAACAGCTGAACACAGCTAAGGCAGCAAATCCAGCGACCTACAGTCCTTCCCCATGCCTCTTACCATAGAACACACCAACCACTTTTCCCCTAAGCCCCACAGATCTGCTTCTGTTGCCCTAATCCTTGGCCTTTGGCCATGCTTGTTGGGGCTGCTGGGGGTTTGGAATCCAACAGCCCTCAGAGGGCCAACAGCTTCTCAAACTCCATGCTTTCTTCATCTCAGCAGTCTAACTTAGTGGGAAGTGGGGGGAGATTCCTATTAAGCGATTGAGAATCGGAATCCATGTGGATCTACTGCAATTCCCTCAGAAGATCTGCCCGTAGATCCCAGCACGCTCTGTGCCCAGCCCCTCCCCATATATCCATTGGTATGGAAAGCTCTGGCTGGCTGTGTGGTACGTCGCCTGCGAGGGCTCTTCCACCCATGCAAATTGTCTTGCGATGATTCATCTCAGCAAATCATCGTTTGAGGAATCATCGCAGGCGTTGAAGACAGAATTGCCAAGTTGAAACATGCAGAATTTCCCTTCCCTCTCAATCTACCAATGAATGCCTACCCCTGCTCATTTCCTCCCAATTTTTTTGCCTGCCCCTTCTCCCTATCTCTTCTACACTGCACCTGCTTGCCGCAGAAGGAGGGATCAGGAATGGGGTGGGGGTGGGCAAAAACCAGGAGAGTGAAAAACAAGTAGGAGAAGCCTCAGCAGCTCAGTCCCCTGAATCATCGCCCGGCAGGAGTTAAATGTGCAGAGAGAATCACTGGGTTATAATCTGGCAGCCCTGAGGGATGAGTGTGCTTGCATGAATTCTCCTCTCAACCTGTGTCCATGTTAGAGGAGCTCCCTCTATCTCTAATGTTCAGAGGTGCGGGCTGTTGCTTTTGTATCCAAAACGGCACCATCCATGCTGGTGAATCTGTCCATTTCGGTTTCTTTCTGTTTAGATTCCTTTTCCCTGTTTTATCTTCAGTTCTCCACATTTCCACATCCATTTGCAATTATTATTATTTTTAAACGAAGTCCTCATGAAAATTCATCAGTGAAGTTTTCCTAATATACGCACGCCTGTGTGCAATTTAGTCTTTTTGCAAAATGATTCCCCTAATATAACACACCTTTGTATGTTACTTTTGCTAATAGGCACGCTGCAAAGTGCACAGTTTGCCCGGCTGTCTGCGTTTTGCTCCACATTAGTTGCCTGCAGAACTGCATTGCAGAATTCGGAGAAGTGAGAATTTCAAAAAGACGACTGTGTTTCGGTATGCTTAATATTTTGGAAGGTGCTAATTAGGCAGGTTTGCCTTTAAATATGAGCTATTTTGGATTTCTCCTCTCTCCCTAATCCACCAACAAGAGGGATATAACACCCAGTAGTAGGAAAACAGAGATTTGAATAATACCGAATTTTAGAAGACATCTGAAGGCAGCCCTGTTTAGGGGAAGTTTTTAATGTTTGAAGTTTTATTCTGTTTTTGATTTTCTGTTGAAAGCAGTCCAGAGTGGCTGGGGAAACCCAGCCAGATGGGCAGGGTAGAAATAATTTATTATTATTATTATTTAGAAAAAAAATAAGAAGTCTTAAAAGGGGAGGACAAAAAAACAGCTCAATAAAGACTGATCATGCTCAGAGGCCACCAGAGAAGCATAGAATTTTAGAGTTGGGAGGGACCACGTGGGTCATCTAGTCCAACCCCCTGCAATTTAGGGATCTTTTTGCCCGACACAGTACTCGAACCCATGACCCTGAGATTAAGAGTCTCATGCTTTTACCGACTGAGCTGTTTGAAGTGGGGGTGGGGAATACCTTATTGTTGTTTTGATGTGGGGGGGGGCAGGTCAGAAACAGAGCAGCTAGAATCGTAAACAGCAGTACTGCGCACTGCAATATTTTGTTGCAGAGTACCTCCAGTGTCTCTGAATGGGTTGTGTGTGTGTGTGTACATGGGAATGGGAAGCAGTCCACTACCTTCAGGATCTGGTGTTAACTTTCTGGGTGGATCTGTCTGGCTACTGTGTGATGCAGGATGCTGCCCTGTTGTTTGATCCATCAGGTCTGCCCTTATGTCCCCTGTCCCTCTGTCTTTCCCCTGCTTTCTAGTTTGGTATGTAAGCTCCTTGGGAGCGGGGACCCGTTCTTCTTGTAGTTCTATAAGATGCCACGTACAGCGACAGCACCAGAAAGGGCCTTTAAATTCCCAGGTGGTGTCAAAACTGTGCTCCTTCCCTGTCTCAGACAAAGGAACTTAGGTGTCTCTTGCAAGTTAAATACAAAACTGCCATGTAGTGAATCAGACTCTTGTTCCATCTAATTTTGTTTAGTCCTCTCTGGCAGACAGCTCTTAGGCAGAGTGGGGGTGTCTTTGCTACCCAGCCTAAAGATGCCTGGGATTGAACCTGGAATGTTCACTAATCTTGCAGAACATGCGGTTGCCCACATATATTTATATCTCCCTCTGATTCCCTCCAACATTTATTTTTCCAATTTTGTGTGTGTGTGTATCTATATCTATATCTATATCTATATCTATATCTATATCTATATCTATATCTATATAGTGTTCCTTATAGGGATGGGTCAATTTTGGTTTTTCTCCGTTTCTCATTTCCCAGTGTTCAGTTCTCCGCATTCACACATCAAATTATTATTATTGTTTATAAAATTTTCATCCTGAAAATGATTGCCGTTTTAGTGCAAATTTCTCCCAGTTACACATTTTTCTATGCAATTTCCAATAATAATAATAATAATAATAATAATAATAATAATAATAATAATGGTTAGTCGCTTTATACAAAAATAAAAAGGTCTCAAAGTGACTTAACAAGATCATACAGTTTTGTATGTTATTTTCAATAATATATGCCCTTCTTTGCATATTTTTACCTTTCTGTATGCATTACTCGGCTGGAGAACTGCGTTGCAAAATTCGGACGAGTGTCAGTTTTGAAGGATGGGTGTGTTACAGTTTGCATATTGTTTCGGAGAGTGCACATTAGGGGAGTTCGCCTTTAAATGTGAAAGGAATTGAATCCACCCCCACCTCACCCATCCCAACTTCTTTAGTCTAGTGTCTGTTTTGCCTCCTAGTTACTTTTGGAGACTCCTATGCCTTACTGCAGAGGGTAGTTACTAGGGAAGATAGAGATGAGCGAGTGTGATGGATGGGGTATAGCATATCTCCTGAACAGAACGTCAGCTTTCTGGCTACATCTTAAAACCCCTTCCCTTATTACTGGACTGGAAGGGTGTGTGTGTGTGTGTCCAGGGGGAGAGCCGGGTGCTGATTACTATTCAGGTTCCTACTGCATTGTGTCTCGGCGAGAATCAAGCAGATCCTTCCTTCTGCTGCCCCTCGCAGTGCACAGGGATTAACTGCAGCTGTCTTCCACTGCAATGGCCCCCCAACACAGCATCAGGAGGTGGGCAGGTGAAGTGAACCGGGAAATAGCGCCAAGGCAGTTCTGCCGCAGACTCAGTCTCCACGTTTATCAGATCAGCTCCCTCGGAAAATGCCGGCTTGGGGGAGGGGGGGAAAGGAGGGGGGTCACATTTAGATTCCTGATTCCCTGTACATCAAACAAAGGAACAGGGAAACAATAGGACGGGTGGTTGTTACAGGGTGGCCAAATGCTACAGCTTCCAATATCTATCATCTATCTATCGATCTATCTATATCTATCATCTATCTATCTATCATCTATCTATCTATCTATCTATCTATCTATCTATCTATCATCTATCTATCTATCTATCTATCTATCTATCTATCTTCTGTCTGTCTATCTATCTATCTATCTATCTATCTATCTATCTATCATCTATCTATCTTTCTATTTGTCTGTCTATCTATCTATCTATCTATCTATCTATCTATCTATCTAATCTATCACCTACTCCCAGCTTCCTCTTCTTGCCCTTGCCTCTCCATCACCTCATACGAAACCTTTGAAAAGAGGGACAATTCATCCCTTGCTGATGCATTCCCGGCCCCCACGCCCCCCCATACTTCCAAATAACCCTGGAATATTAAGGAAAGAAACTCTGGGATGAGATCCGGACTTAGACTGCCGACAACCGGCTTTACCCCTGGCACTGGGAGAGAAGTGCACCCTAGTGGTTGGAATAAGAGAGGGTGGCTGGTGGGAAGGGGGCTTCTAATGCTGTGGGGCTGGATCGGAGCTGGCAGAGCACCTGCTGGAGGCAAGATGCCCTCTCCCCCCCTTTTTTTAATCCCAAAGCCCCAGGCTCCCTACACCGCCAACCTGGTCTCCATTGTAATCTGTGCCTAGAGCAAGCTTGGATTTTCCATCAGGCAGATGTGCGGCAGTTCGGGGTGACCTTCTTCCCTGGGGGATGCCGCAGGCTGTAAAAGCACTTTTCCTCCCAGTTTCTAATCACTTGGTGGCTGGGATCAGGAGATGGAAAATCCTTGAGTAATTACAGTGGCAGGAGGTTGGGTTCCCTCCTCCTTCCCACCTCCCACTTTTTTTTTTTTTTGCTGCCGTCCATCAGTTCTTCTCAGGCTGCTTAGCTAGCAGAGAGCGGTGGGTCAGCGGTGGTGTTGTATAGTTTTGTGGGAAGAGGTCCCGGGCTTCTTTTGGAAAGAGGAGAACAGGCATTCGTTTCAGATTCAGACAGGCTGTAAAGGCTGTAAACTATGCAGCTAGGAGGCAGTGATGGTCACCAACTTGAATGGCTTGAAAAGAGGATTAGACAAATTCGTGGAGGATATTGATGTCAGTGGTTGTTCTGCATCCATGATCAGAGGCAGTCGTGCTTTTGAATCCTAGTTCCTAGAAATTGCAGGAAGGGAGAGATGTCTCGTGTTCGGGTGCCCTGGGTGCCCACTCTGAAAACAGGATGCTGGACTAGGTGGGCCATTGGCCTGATCCAGCAGCCTCCTCTCATGCTCTAGGTCAGGCACTCGAGCAGATTCAGTCAAGCTTTCACCACTAGGCATTGCCCTGACCCATCAGATTCTACGAGGCTCTATCATCCTCTGCAAGGCAACAGCCATGACGCTTTGTGCCCTTCCCTGAGCCATCAGGTTCTGCAGGGATTCATCCAGATCTTGCCAAGCCCTCATCCTTGCTTGAATATACCTGTATACCTGAAAGAGCGTCTCCACCCCCATCGTTCTGCCCAGACACTGAGGTCCAGTTCTGAGTGCCACAATCTAAGAAGGATATTGACAAGCTGGAATTTGTGCAGAGGAGGGCAGCCAAGATGGTCAAGCCTTATGAGGAACACTTGAAGCAGTGGGGTATGTTTAGCCTGGAAGAGAACACTTAGCCTAGCTAAGAGGAGGCAGAGAGGAGATATGATTTGAAGATAGCCATCTTCAACCAGGATAGGACTCAAACCAATGGCTTCAAGTTACAAGAAAGGAGATTCCTACTAAACATCAGGAAGAACTTTCTGACAGTAGGAACTGTGTGACAGTGGAACGGACTCCTTCAGAAGGTGGTAGACTCTTGTTCACTGGAGGTTTCTAAGCAGAGGTTGGATGGCCATCTGCCATGGATGCTTTAGTTGAGATCCCTGTATTGCAGGGGGTTGGACTAGATGACCCTTGAGGTCCCTTCCAACTTTACGATTCCATGATTCCATGATTCCATTTCTATCTAATGCAGAGTTGGGGGACTTCAGGCTCAAGGCTCATTGCGGACCTTCACACCTCTCTATCTGGCCCTCAGCACCCTCCATAGGCCTCATCCCCAGACTGGCTCTGCTTCACACTCCCAAGTGTTTATTATTATTATTATTATTATTATTATTATTATTATTATTCACACTCCCAAGTATTTTTACCTGGGTGGGATGTCTCTTTGAGCTGCTCATAATGCCCCGGCTTGTCTGGATGGAGGGTGGAGAAGGGTGTGTGCAAGTGTATATAGATACAGGCCAACTGTACAAATGCAAATTTTATATTTGTTGCTCTGCCCAGATTTGCCTCTGGCTCCACCCACCACCAGCATGTGGTCCTTGGAAGGTTGTTCAGGAAGAAATGTGGCCCTCAGACCAGAAAATTCTCCTTACTCTTGATCTCATGCAAAAAAAAAAGGCACCTTGTCTTTACCTCTTCTGCTTTTTATGACTGATCTGCCTTTGTGCTTTTCACAGCAGTCTGACTCATGACATCAGAAGCAAGAGAAGCTTTCTCTCTCACTATCTCTCTCTGTGACAGAAAAAGTTGCACTGGCTTCATTTCTTTGTGTGAAAAGGAACAGGAGCAGAAATCGGAGGTTCTGCCAGTGCCTGCCAAAGTAAGGGACATCTTTCAGAATGGGAATGTTGACTCTCCTCCAGAGTCAATGTTTCCTTTGAAATGGGTCTGGATCAAGCATGGGCCTCGATGATGTCATCATTAGGCGACAGGGCTCAATAGCCTCAATACTCTATTACATCTTTAAATAAAGTTAAGGTGCAGCTGCCCCCCCCATCTACTTGTTGGTATTTCACGCCTTCGATCCTGCAGATGAGATTGGTGTAAATCACATACCTGTCTAGGAAGAGTGTGGGAACGGAAGACAGTCTTATCTCTTCCGTTGTATTAGCTCAGAGTTTGGGGGCTGCAGGGCACCCCAGGGCATTTTTCCAACACTACCTGCCTTCTTACCTACAACCAGACCACAAGGTGGCCCTGTCTGTCAGCTTTTTCATCCTCATACTCCTCACCCGTCCCAGTTAAATCAAGATATCCCATTTTGGGGCACCGTGCTCTCTCGCAAGTCACGTGACTCACGCTGGAGTACGCCTCTGAAGACGGGCATCCCGGTTTTCCACCGCAACACACTGGAGGGTGTGCTTCCTTAGTCTCAGTGTTGGCTTCATGGAATTCAACAGAGAAGAGGATGGAGACTAAATCTCCCCCTTCTGCCATTGGCTTGGGCCCGACCTACTGCTGGGCTCCTTGCCTTCCTCCTCACCAGTTCCAATGGGCACCAGCAACCCACGGTTATGGTATGGAGCTATCCCTCCTAGTCACTTCCCTGGCCCTCACTCCACCGAGAAGATGGTCAGGAGCCCGAAATAATACTATTAAGGCTGCAAGTGTCAAGGGAATCTGGACATTATGGGAACTACATATCCCATGAGGCTGCTGGGCATAAACAGGAACACCGAAAGTCTTCCCGATGGCTGTAGCCTCCGTGACATGAAGTGGATTCTCCCAGCGTTTCCCTTATCCGTCATATTTATATGCTACCTATTCACGACATTGCCTAGATTTATTCTGAGGACGTAATGAAGGGGGGATAATGCTGGCTGTCATGGAAAGCTTAGAGGACATTATCAGTGTGGAAGCTAGGTAAGAACTTTATTCTCTTGTACAAGAACAGAACAGATAAAGGGAAAAACCTAACTCCACCCAGGTTCAGCTAAGTCCAGCGCCACCTAGTGATTAAGCTTTATAATCACACTATCCATGCACTTATTTATTTAATATTTACAATATATCAAAGGAATGCAGCTTTAAATCAACACTGTTGGAATGTTTGGTAGTGCATTTGTCAGTGATTTGGAAATCTCAGAGTCTTCCAAATGATTTGATGGGAGCAAGCAATGATCTGAGCGCATCACTTTCTGGAAACAATTTAAGACATGTGTTTGTTTGGGCAAGGTTTGGCAGCTGGATGAAAAAATATCTCTGCCTTAGGTGTTCATTTTGCATTGTTTTAAAGTTATTTTTAGTTGCTTGTACTGTTTTAAACACATCGTTTTTAGCTGTTTTTTTAATGATATATTTGTAAATAGCCTTGAGACGCATGCAAAATACACTTGATTCCTTAATATTAATAAATCATAGCCAGGGATTTCAACTGAGTGAGAAGCCTTCATGAGTAGAGGAGTCTCATCACATCAGACCTTTGCCCTCAGATGCATGGGTGGCACTAAACTACAGCAGTGACACATCATAAAGCGTGGGGCTGGGCACTGTGGCCTGGCTTCTCCTTTCATGTTTGCTTACATGCAAGGACATTGAACACCTGAAAAGGACTTCGTTCATTCTTACAAAGTGGCTGCGGCCATAGAAGACAGGCAGGGAACCTGTGGCTTTCCTGATGTTGTTGGTCTCCCATCAGCCCTAACCACATCTACCAAGTTTGTTCGATAGGATAGGATAGGATAGGATAGGATAGGATATCGGTGTTTCATTTATTCCTTATACAGTAACTGGAGTCTGCCATGTCTTTTCTCCATCAAATTTGATATAAACTCTCTCTCCCAGTTCTAAACGTGATAGTTCTTGTGCTAAATTGTACCGATTATAGAAACGTTCATAACTTCTGTTACCCTGGTAATCTGAAGAGGCAACTTGTTCCAGGTCATGCCGTGTTGGAATGAGATTCTTCTCTAGAAGTGGAAAGGGGTCTTCTTCTGATTTGCCTTTCCTTTAGCTGTTCTGCTGGGATACTTCCAGTAGCTGTCAGTGATGCTGACCTGTAGCTTAACATAGCGGTATATCATTATTCTGTCTCGAGATTTACAGCCTGTCCTGCTTTCGCTGTCTCACCATTTGCTTGAGGGTAGTGAGGGCTAGTGGTAATGTGACAAAAGTTATAAGATGTCCTCAGTGATGAATGCTGCAGGCATGAATTGGGTTGCGTTGCCGGTCACAAGTTCATCTGGAATGCCAAACAAACAAAGGTGCATTCTCCAGTTGTGCAACAACAACTGCAGCAGTTAATGTCGGGCAAGGGCAGTATCTCAATATATCTTGAATATAGTCCACAGCAACCAAATAGTGTTGACCTTCTAATTCGCACAGGTCAGCTGCTAGTCTTTTCCATGGTCTGTTGGGTAAGGGACTGATGATTAAAGGTTCCTTCTGTTGCATTGATCTATTTTTTTCGCAGTAGCTATGGGATCTATTCTTTACATCACTTTCAACACTAGGCCACTACAGTGTCTGCTTCGCTGGGGCAAGGCATTCGTGTCCTTTGTGGATAAGATTTAGGATTTCTTTCCATATAACAATATGGTTTCCTTTTGCTCTCAGGCCTTCTGAATCATTCAGTTGCCCACGGTAAGCAAAGTTATCTCTGAAGCATTATTGAGCTAGTTAGGCATTCCGATCTGATATATGTATCTGGATGTCTGTGAGTAACTGCTGGAATCTGATGAAGCCCACTTTCAGATGTTGCTAGAGAAGTACGCACAACGTGAACATAAACTTTAACACCCTCCTCTAACATTTAAGTGTGTGCTTGCATTGTGGGGATTTGTGATAAAAGCGTCTGCTGTGAACAGCCCGTCCCAACCCCCGGAAAATACTTGCCTACTGGGTTGAATTTCATCATTTGTTAAAAGATGTTAGCACTGCAGTGTTACTCTTTCCAAATATTTTCTTTCCATCTAGACCACAAAATGTTTATGGCAACCTTCCTATACCTGGTGCTCTTCAGAGAATTGGGTGGCAGAAGCATCAGATTGTCTTTGCTGCTACACCTGGGCCACGTTGTGCTCCCCATGCATCTTTTCTCTCCCTCTCAGAAAGCGGAAGTAATGCTTGCCACCTGGAAGCTGGCTGTGCAGAGACACCCCACTTTTGCTGCCCCACCAACTGCTTCTGGGCACTGATAATGCTGGTTACATTTTTTTATTTTTATTTTTTTACTGTTAACCGTCTTTCTACTTTATTCTTATTCTTGTTTTGTTCTATTGGATGGGCAAAATTATCTATTTTGCATTGATCTGCTGTCCTTTTTCTTGTTAAGCGCTTTTTTTTTAAAAAAAAGTTCATAGTTAAAAAAAGAATGAATAAAGTATGGCGGAATATTAGCTGCTGGTTAGGGATGTACAGGGTTTCTTTTTTATTATTGGGTTTATTATTATTATTATTATTATTATTATTATGTTTTATAAACAAGAATAATGTTATACACAGTGGTACCTTGGGTTACATATGCTTCAGGTTACAGACGCTTCAGGGTACAAACTCCACTAACGCAGAAATAGTACCTCGGGTTAAGAACTTTGCTTCAGGATGAGAACAGAAATTGCATGGCGGCGCAGCAGCAGTGGGATGCCCCATTAGCTAAAGTGGTGCTTCAGGTTAGAACAGTTTCAGGTTAAGAACAGACCTCCGGAACGAATTAAGTATGTAACCAGAGGCACCACTGTATACCAAGTTTTCTCATGTCATTTGTATATCACAAGAATAGCATAATAAATGTGGGGAAATATCTAGAACATGTTTCATTATTAGTGGTCAATGTATAAGTTCTTGGTTTGTGAATTGGTTTAAGCAATTAGGAAGATGAAGAAAAGGGGGGAGGAGAAAAGAAAAGAAAAGAAAAGAAAAGAAAAGAAAAGAAAAGAAAAGAAAAGAAAAGAAAAGAAAGAGGGGAGAGAGGCGAGGGGGGTGGAGTCAGGTGGCTATGCTTCTATTATTCTGCTTAGTGTGTTTTTCTTCTCCTTTGGTAGGAGCAGAGAAACAACTGGCATCAATGCAGTTGTTACTTAGTCCATGGATTTGCTTCAGTGGTGATTTTTGTGGGCTTGTTGACATCATAAACATGTAAGATTGGGTTACTGGGGATCATATCCTTTAATCTGTTTAAAGACAGTATTATGATTTGGTCCCCCAAACCAGGATATGGCGGTTTCAGTATTAATAGTTGTGCTTCTGTTGAGATGTCTTGGGAACACGGACTGAGATAATTTAGCATTCCTAGAAAGCATCTCCGTTCTGTAATGTTAGTTTGCATTTTCAGCTCTCTGGGAGCATTAACCTCCTCTGGTCATGGCTTCCCCCCATGTTCTGTAATTATTAGTCCCAAGAACCATATTTCACTTTGACCATCCCCTCCAAAAAACAGAAAAATAAATCTCTGTTTAACTTGAGTTCTGCTTCAAAGATCTGATTCAAGATGATGCCCAGCATTGTGTCGTAGTCTTCCATTGATATGCCGTGGATTAGGACATCGTTCACGAAGAAAATATCTTTTTTTCATGTCTCTGAGGAGTTCTGTCATCTTCCTTTGAAAAATCCCAGCAGCGCTTGTGATCCCAAATGGCAAACACTGAAAACAGACATTCCCAAAGGGCTTGATTCCTGTAGTCAATTTTGAACTCTAGTAGGCCAGTTATTTGCTAGAGACCACTTGAGAGACATCTAATGTGGAAAATACTTTTGACTTCTGTCACTTTCAAGAGAAGCCCCCCTGGTGCCTTCATTAGACTTCATTAGACTTTCACAGAACTGCACAGATCTGTATTTTCACATTATTCTTGACGATATGGACAACAGAATCATGAAAGCTCAGGTGGTAGAGCATGGGACATTTGATCTTATGGTTGTGGGTTCGAGTCCCACATTGGGTGAAAGACTCCTGCATTTTTGGGGGGTGGACTAGATGATCCTGGTGATCCTTTCCAACTCTACAATTCTATGATTTTAACTGTTGCACACCACATGGTAGATTTGGTGACTGCCTTCCTTATCCCACGTTCTTCCATCCTTTTCAACTCCATTTCCACCTTGTAAAGTAATAGAAGAGTAAAGTCACCAGGCTAGCCGTGTGCCCAACTTAACAGAGGGCAGTCCTCTGTTTGAAGGGCTGCCTGTTGCAAGTAGGGTTTAAAGATAAAGAATCATTGAAAAAGCATAGCAAAGGCACTGGAATGCCCCATTAACAGACTCTGGCCAGAAGACTGAGCCTGGCCAGTGCTGGATTTACTTATTGGCTGAGTGGGCTGTAGCCCAGAGCCCCATAATCTGGAGGGGGGGCTCACCCAATTGTAATAAAAAAAAGCAGATTTTACTATCTAGTCCCAGTTGCTTAGTAACATTAAACACGTGACGTATGAGTCGATGACTGTAAACCAGTTATGCAAGTGCGTACTTACTGTTGAGTGAAGTTCGTGGAGACTTTAAAGCTACTCAGAATCAAATGATAAAGTCAGCTGTGAAGCAATTCAAGTCTTCAGATCATTGTCTGTCATTACAGTGTGTGTTCTGAGAACAAGTGGGGATTCTTTTATATCATTGTGAATCCCAATAATATTTAATTTTGGCTTTTTTGTGAAAATAATGAGCAAACGACACGAAAGTGGTGCTGGTAAACGAAAGCGGTGGAAATAACAGATGGAAACACTCAAACGTTCAAAGACAAATCACGTTTCGGATTGTTCCCGTGTTCCATGGTTACAAGCTGTACTGGCAAAAGATCATTTTATAGGCTAAAGAATGATCTCTACGGTAAAGGATGTCCCAAGACTGGTTGTCCGAACCAAGCATTCTCTGCATAGAAAATGATAAACCACAACTTACTGATTTTAATGACATAACTGATAAGTTTGCATCCAGAGGAGCTTGAAAGAAACAGTTCTGACTTTGTATATACAGTGGTACCTCGAGTTTCATACGCTTCAGGTTACATACGCTTCAGGTTACACACTCCGCTAACCCAGAAATAGTGCTTCAGGTTAAGAACTTTACTTCAGGGTAAGAACAGAAATCGGGCTCCGGCGGCGTGGCGGCAGCAGGAGGCCCCATTAGCTAAAGTGGTGCTTCAGGTTAAGAACAGTTTCAGGTTAAGAACGGACCTCTGGAACGAATTAAGTACTTAACCAGAGGTACCACTGTAGTGCAATGTTATAACATAGCTGTGATTTCGCTATGCATGTTCTGTGTGAATGCCTTCATTAATCCCATATTTCTGTAAACTTATTAAAGGTTATAAAACAGTGCTATTTTTCTAGAAAAAGAGATGCCAGAACTCACCATGAACGCCTCCCTTGTTCTCTTATAATGGAACCGGCACCCACCTGAGAGGTGCCGGAACTGAGTTCTGGTGAATTCTGTCCGAGATAAAGCCCTGGTTATAACTTTATAAACAATATTTTCATCAGTGCTAAAATTTGGGCAAAGTTCTACTTTCATTGAGTAGATAAAGAAAAGAAAGAGGTTTTGTTTCTCATGATCCGATGCTATTAAGGTTGGGCCTCTAAAGCTCTCCAAGCCCAAGGCCTCCAGTTGTTTTGATCCGCACCCAGGTCAGGCACATATAGAGATTCGGGAGGAATCTGCTGAACTTGGATCTCAAAGCAGACTCACCTGATTCATTCATAAACAGGATTGGATCATGAGCCATCTTTGGAATCTCCAATGCTGTGGATCGTTTTGCAAATTATGTACAGTTGTACCTTGGGTTAAGAACTGAATTAGTTCTGGAAGTCCGTTCGTAACCTGAAACTGTTCTTAACCTGAGGTAGCACTTTAGCTAATGGGGCCTCCTGCTGCTGTGCGATTTCTGTTCTCATCCTGAAGCAAAGTTCTTAACCCGAGGTACTATATCTTGGTTAGCGGAGTCTGTAACCTGAAGCGTCTGTGTTAAGTTGTGGGTGAACATATCAGACGACACAGCGATTCTTCAGACAGCTCTTGTTTATTCACAGGCCAGAACAGAACTGAACTGAAGGGTTCAGCCAACCTGCTTATATAGAGCTACTACAAAGCAACTACAAAGCAACAGTAACAACTTTCTGTAACTATCCAATCACTGAACGTCACTTTCAGTTCCTTATCTGCATATGCAGACCTGAGTGAAAACTATTTACAGTATCCCCCTGCTGGCCCAGGGTGAGAACTTCAGTACATAACAGTCTGTAACCTGAAGCATCCGTAACCCGAGGTACCACTGTATGTGAATATATTTGTTTATTGCATTTATGCCACACCTTTTCCTCCAAGGAATTCAAGGTGGTGTACACGGTTCTCCCCCCTCCTCATTTAATCCCCACAACAACCCTGTGAGGTAGGTTAGGCTGAGAGGCCGTAGCTGGCCCACGGTAACCCTAAGCTTAATGGCCAAGTGGGGGTTTGAACCCTGGTCTCCCCGGTCCTAGTCCAACACTCTAACCGCTATACCACCACTGGGACTAAAGTGGCTGGTTCCTCGCTTGGTATTGTTCAGAGTTTACTTCTGCACTTTCTTCCTGCCCGAAAGACCCTCAAGGTTCACAAAGGGCAGAGCACAAATACAAAATTCAAGGTGCTGGAAATGCAATTCACAAACAATGTCGAAACCTTAAGAATGGGGGGGAGGGGCTAAAAGTGAAATTTATTCATGCTTCTGTGCAAAGGGTAGTGCCTGCAAAAATGTCAAGTAGAGCAGAAGCAAATCCTTAGGGAACAGGTCCTCCTTATAATGTCGGCAGGCAGGGAGACGGGACAGAGCAGGCAGAAATCTTTGCCCCTTGATGGTCTGGCACAGCCTCTTCTCTGCAGCAATATCTCCCTGGCAGCAACTCCTCCTGCCCCAGGTGGGATAGGGCTTCCCTCCTGATGGTCCAGCTCCCCTCTTATCCTTATATGTCTCCCCCCCCCAAAAAAAAGATCAGCCAGCTGCTTGGAGGAGCCAGCGTATGGGGCTCCTTGCTGCCAGGCTGGTTGCACTGAAATACGGCAAGTCCTCCTGGGAGAAGCACGACTTGATGGTGATGTCATTGCTCTCAGGGGCAACCTGTATGAAAACAACACACGGGGGAATGGGGGAAAAACCCTGGGTGAGTTGCCACAGGGGGACTTGCTGTATTTCAGTACAAAGCACACAGCAGCTGGGGGCCCCAAATGATAGCCACTCCAGATAGCTAGAATATCTTCTTTTTAATGTAAAGGGGGCACCAGCTAACACTGCAGACCTCAGACCAGCACTGCTTTTATCTTCCTTTTTGTTTCTCATAGATATAGATATATAGATATAGATATTTTCTTTGTGTTTCCCTTGCAGATTTTAAAGGATTTCCCCCCTTTTTAAAAAGCCACATGAAACAGAATGAGGAAGATGAATCTGGGATGGGTGTGACTTTAAAGGTCCCGTCCATACCTGCACATAGGACACCTGGTCACAGTCTTCCCCACTAATGAGTCCCACCCCCCATAAAGCATATACACTGCTTGACTGGGGAAAAAGCAGATTAAAATGTTTACAAAACAGATAAAACAATAAGATTCTCAATCAGAAGAATTCACAATAATGGAATACTTTCTTTTTTAAAAAAGGTTTTTCAGCTTAAAATTTTACAGATATATATCAAACATAAATCATAAAAACAAGATTCCATGGAATCTCCTGGACTTCCACCCTCCCCTTTGTGGGTCCTATTATTAATCAATTCCTCCCGCATCTTTTATGATACTCCAAACCCTTTACCTCTTCCATTATATCCAGAATCAACCTTACACTACAAGTGATATTCCAATCCTACTAACGATTTTAACTCTTTACAAGGGTCTTTAAGATAGGGTATAAATTTTCCCCGTTCCTTATTAAAATTGTGGTCCTCCTGATTTCTGACTCTCCCAGTCATTTTAGCCATTTCGGCACAGTCCATTAGCTTCATCTGCCATTCTTCTCTGGTAGGAACTTTTATCTTCCTTCCATCTCTGGACCAGTAACATCTGTGCAGCCGTGGTTGCATAAATAAATAGAAAAGACTATATAATGGAAGACTTTCAGAAAGTTAAAATATGAATATGCTAACAGCAGATGAAAACTCTTATCAGCTTTCTAAATATGGGGGTAGGGGTGTCTAACCAAAAATGTTTTGAGCTGGTGCTGAACACAATACAGTGAAGGCACCTGCCTGATATCAATAGGCAAGGAGTTCCAAAGTGTAGATGCTGCCACACTAAAGCACTGAGCTCTTAGAAATGTGAACTGGTGTAAGTCACTACCATCAAGCAGTGTGTTCAACACACAAGCCTGGTAGACCTTCATCTTGCTATTGGTCATTAGCATCACATTCTCCCATAGAAAAAAGTGATTGCCATGGATGCCTTGCCAATACACTTGTCCAGTTCAGCATTGATGGAGAGGTTTCAGGTAGATAACATCATCTCTACCTCCTCAAGCATGTGGTGGCCAATGCTGAGGCACAGAGTTCTGGCAACATCCTGACCCAGAATACTGGCCTTTGTCAGGCTGATCGTAAGGCCAAACTCTTGCAGGCTTGGGCAAAATGGTTGATGAGACTCTTGAGAGCTTCCTTGTGCAGAAGGCAGCGACCCCAATAGCAGGTGGTGCCATAGCCAGTGACAGGTGGAGGCAAGTCACCCTAGCTCTGTCCAAATCTTCCTCCCAGCTGAATTCTTAAAATGCAGCAATGAGATTAAGGAAGACCGCCTCTTTCCATACGAACCTACTCAGACCCTGAGATCATCTTCTGAGGCCCTCCTTCGTGTGCCTCCTCCTCAAGAGGTCCGGAGGGTGGCAACATGAGAACGGGCCTTCTCTGCAGTGGCTCCCCGACTGTGGAATGCTTTCCCCAGGGAAGTTTGCCTGGTGCCTTCATTATACACCTTTAGGCACCAGGCAAAAGT